TTTTTCAGAATTTTCCTGGCTATTCTTTTAAAATATTTATTGTTTGACTTACATACAATAAAATTCACTCTTTTGGGGGTATAAATCTATGAGTTTTGACAAAAACATGGAATTGTATAACACCACAATAATCAAGATTTAGTTCCATCACCCTAAGAAATTCACTTGTGCCGTCCATTTGTAATCTCTCCCTCCTAATCTTAATCTTTAAGTGTGATTCTCTCTTGCCACAAAATATATGTCCCATCTGACCATCTCTCACCATCTCCAACCACCAGCAGCACCTTGGTTTAGACTTTCATCTGAATTACTGCAGTAGGCATACAGTTGGTCATCTTGCTTCCATTCTTGCTCTAAAAATCAGTTTTCCATATTGTAGCCAAAGTGATTTATTTAAAATGTCAATTAGATCACATCATTCCTGCTCAAAATCTTCCAGTGACTTTCTATCACAGTTAGAGTGAAATCCAGGTCCTACAAGGCATTACATTCAGGATCCGACCTTGCCTACCACTCTGACCTCATCTCCTGCTACTTGATGCCATTCTAGCCACACAGACTTCCATGCTGTACCCCAAACACAAGGAAGCTTATTTTGCTTTAGGATCTTTGGAGTTGTCATCCCCCTGCCTGCCATGTTCTTCCCCCAGATCCTCACATGGCTTGCACTCTCACTCCTGCTTTGCTGAACTGTCACCTCCACAAAGAGATCACTCTTTTAAAAAAATGCATGCCTCCTATCTTTAGTGGTGCAGTGGTGCAATTACAGATCACTGCAGCCTCACACTCCTGAGCTCCAGTGATCCTCCTGCCTCAGCCTCCCATGTAGCTGGGCCTACAGGTGCACGCCACCACACCTGGCTAAGTGTTTTCATTTTTTTGGAGACAGAGTCTCACTGTATAGCTGGGATTACAGGTGCAAGTCACCACGCCTGGCACAGATTAGTTTATTTATGATTTGTTCTCCCCACTAGAATGTAAGTTCCTTAAGGGAAAGAACCCTCTTTGTCTCATTCACAGCTATATTCTTGGCATACAGGACCTGGCACATAGTAGGCTTTCAGTTAAATTTGTTATGACTAAATGAATTAAAGAATATACATAAGAAGCCAGGTGCAGTGGCTCACGCCTATAATCCTAGCACTCTGGGAGGCCAAGGTGGGAGGATCGCTTGAGGTCAGGGGTTCAAAACCAGCCTGAGCAAAAGCAAGACCCCCCATCTCTACCAAAAATAGAAAAAATTAGCTGAGTGTGGTGGCACGTACCTGTAGTCCCAGCTACTGGGGAGGCTGAGGCAGGAGGACTGCTTGAGCTCAGGAGGTTGCTATGAGCTAGGCTGATACCATGACACTCTAGCCAGGACAACAGAGCAAGACTCTGTCTCCAAAAAAAAGAAAAAGAATATATAGAAGGACGCTAAAGAAACTGGGAGCAGTGGTACAAGGAAGGAAACTTGGGATAAGAGATCAAAGGCAGTGGGGCAATTCACTTTAATTTTAAACAAAACTGAAT